GCAAATAGGGAAGGGTGGAGGGGGTGAAGCGAGGGCAAGGGAAGGGGAAAAAAAAATAAGAACCAAGATACTCATGCAATGGTACAAGATCCCAATGATGAATGTAACTGTATTTTATACCTAAAATGTACCAATAAACTTAATGAGAAAAAAATATAAGTTTGAAAAACTTATTTTACTACTTCCCATTTTTTGAGCAATACCTATGAATATTATACAGTACAAAACTAGTGCTCCTCAAAGTGTACTTTGGGCAATACTGCCATTTAGTGTTACCTACTATTTTAATAGTGATAAATTTAAAAATTTGGTGGCAACTACAACAAGAATAATGCTACTAAGTTTCTGACTTGGTGGCTGATATTATCAGTATAATTTTCATTATGTAATATTAAGCATGTTTGGAGAGAAGATGTCCACTAGGACGAAATAACAAATTTGTCAAAATCTGTTCTTGCTATATTTTTAACTCCTACAGAGATGTTTTCTTGGGTGGCATCATCACATCTAATACATCTTAATTTGATAACAGTATATTGAGATGATAAAAATCAGATTTTACTTCTACTAACCTTACCTATTCCACAAGAAGGCTTCTGCAGCCTGCTGTGTTTGATAGGCAAAACCAGTGGACATGTTGGTTTTCGGAAGTCACTTCTTTGGGTAGTTTGAGTATCATAAAGTGGTTGGGAGGTATATTCTATTGCTTCACCATGTGACCACCAGTCACTCTATAAAAAAATTGGAAATGTAAAATTGAATATTGTTGAACATTTTCATGTGTCACTTGATGTCTATTCATGTTCAGTAATTCAGTTCAGTAATTTATTGGATATTCTGAAATCTAGGAATAAATATCTTTTCAGAAAGATTGCGTTTCTTAAAAGGTATCTAAAAATAAATTATATTTTTAGCCAAAGTACACCTGCTAAATTCCTAAGCTGATGTCTATCAACACATGAAGTAGTAAAAATAAACAAAAGTTATATTTCAATGTTTTTTACTATAATATTAATATATACTCTATGTACATATGCATATATGTGTTAAACATAATTTAATCTAAAATTGTGGTCTATACTTTTATTATGGCAATATAAATCATTTCTTATCATTATCTAAAATGGTGGTTTTCAAACTTTAAAATACATTTTAAACCATAAAATACATCTTTTTTTTTTGGTACCGGGGATTGAACTTGAATCCTTGAGCTAGTGCAGCAGGCAGCAAAACCACTGAGCTAAGTACCCGGCCCCATAAAATACATTTTACACCATAAAATACATTTTATATCATGCAAGAGTACACGATGCAATAGATGCAGGGCACTCGGCTATTTTTCTGTTATATTTAATTACTTTCTCTTTTATTTCATTTCCCAATGTTGGTTACAACTCACACTGAAAAACTGTTCTAAGAGAAAGTATCTCAAATGTTACTAAATTTTTGGTACTAAAACCTAAGCATGTAGGAAAGGGAGAACTGATAGATTTTTCTCATTAGCACATATGACCATTAAATCTCTTAGATGTTGAGAAAGCAATGAGGGAAACTGTTACTCAACTTAATTTTGATTGAAAGTTATAGAACTTCTTGATCAGGTAGAAGAGAACCTGGGGAAAGGTAACTATGACACTTAGAGCTTCTTGGATATGATTAGGGAATGAAGTAACCTTGGATATGATAAAGTACTTACCTTGGTCTATAAGAAAGTAGATCTGGCTTTAAAAAGTCACCTATGATTTTATGAGACAATATGACTCAAGGGGAATGAATATGTGATTCTAATAATAAATTTCTGACAATACAATTGAGGTGATATTAATACAAAAAGGAAGAGGTATCTAGAGAAACCTATGTGGCTGTATGCAGTAAGCTCTCAAATAAGCTTAGTTTCTAAAAACACAGGCATGTTTACGAAGGACATAATATAAAATTCAAACTAAAATTTAATAGAGTCAACTTGTCAGATGACTATTGAGAAACTTAAAAGTTGATATAATATGTTAAATGTAGCAAAAATAATATTTTCTGGGGAAAATTGTTTGGAGTAAGTAATCAAGGAAAGGCTAATAAGTTGGAAAGGAGTACATTATTTAGAGCTGAAAGTCTGAACTACTCAATTTGAGGTTCTTTGTTAAATGAAGTTAACCTGAGATTGAAAAAAGGTTCATGAAGCATACCAAAGAGGGATGTAAGAAATGAATAGTGGATGAGAGAATTAGATCTCATGTTGCTACTTTAAATTAGTGCCAGTTTTTAGGCCAATTGCAAAGTACAACCAGGAGCAATGGAATAATGAGTAATTGTAAAAGGTGACCAGAAACCACAGAAATTTATGAACTAGGAATTTTAGAGGAGAGATTTGCCTCTTTTATTTTCAGAATGTGGTACAGAGGGAATTTAAAAAATTAGGGCCGGGGATTTAGCTCAGTGGTTCCGCCGCCTGCCTCGCAAGCTCAAGGACCTGAGTTTGATCCCCGGTACCAAAAGAAAAATTTTAAAAAGTTAAAGACTACTTAATATAGATGCTGAGAAAATTCTAGAACAGATTACTAAACAGATGGTGTCTTATCACTATCTGGCTATAAATAGTCATGTCTTACTGTTGTCACAGTACCTGCTTCTGGCAACTTTCTTCCTCTTTACCTCATAATTATGATAGTGCTTATTATATTCTAAGATCTGGGATTTATAGGCCTTATCTCACTCTCACCACAATTCTGAGGTAGGTACATCCATTTTATAGATGAGAAAACTGCCAAGAGATCAAGAAATTTCCCCAGGATCCATCACTAGCAGGCAGCAGCCTTGCCTCAATTCAACCCTCAGCTATCTATGTACCTTGAATTTCTGTGCTACACTACTATGTCAACTCTCCTGTGGAATGCTACACCAGATAAGGGCAAACTACATTACATTATTTCAAAAGCAAAAATAAAGCAGCTCCAAGCAAACATCTTGGTCTCTTTTGTGCACCTGTAACCAAACACCACAGGCCGAGTAATTAATAATGAACCGAAATGTACTGGCTCACACTTCTGGAAGCTGGGAAATCTGGTATGAAGTCATCATGGAGAGGGCAGGTTTGGCAATTCTAGTTCCAAGATGGTGTCCTGAACACTTATATGGGGAGAGGTGGAATGGTAAAAGGAAGTTAAGAGGGGATCTACCTTGCCCTGTCATAACAAAGTTAATCTTCCAGTGAGGCAGAACCTTGATGGTCTAATTTTTGGGGGGGGGGGGGTACCAGGGATCCAACTCAGGACCTTGAGCTTGTGAGGCAAGCACAGTGCCACTGAGCTAAATCCCGGCCCTTTAAAAAATATATAGGGTCTTGCTACATAGTTTAGGCTGACCTTGAACTCACTATGTAGCCCAGGCTGGCTGGAACAAGGATCCTCCTGCCTCAGCTTCTCTAGCGCTGGGATTATAGGCATGCACTACCATGCCCAGCTCAGCCTAATCATTTCTTAAAAGTTCTCACTATTAAAACTTTTACAATAGCAATTAAATTCTACATGAGTTTTGGAGGGGACAAACTTTCAAACCATAGCAGTAAGTATACTGAGAAAGTATGATGAGATAAGGCATGCATCACAGTGTCTAATTTTGTTGATCACAAAATCATTTTGCTAATACCCAAGTTATTGAAGAAGTGACTCTGGGTAAGGACCAGGAGGAAGTGCTTGGTGCATGTCAACTTTTTTCTCAAAAAAACGATGTAATGCTAAAACTTCTCTTAGAGACATCAGTTTAGCTTTCAAGCAAAATTTTTTGAATCGAGAGTTTTATCAAAATGGTCTCTAGCTTCAAAAATATGAATGAAATAATTTTTTCCTAAAGTCTGACCCTGTAGTTGGCAAAAGTGTTCTGCCATTATTGATTAGATGCATCTTCACTGAATTAAATCTGACAGTTCCAAGAATACTGTACTGTTATCTTTCCTATCTTTGGAGTCTTCCCCATGCCTGAAAAGTATGGGTTGTTTTTGGAGGAGTGCGAGTGTGTACCATACATATGTGTATGCCTTTTTGGTCCAAGCATTTGCTCATAAGGAATTATAAGATTAAAGAAATAGATGGAGGTGCCTCACACCAAAGGGAAGGTCTAATAAAAATTTTACTGTGGTTCATCAGATTGTAAGAGGTTAATGCAGATGACAAAATAAACTAAACTGGGAAAAGTCACCTGGTGTGATGACTTTGTCTAAGGGATAGGCTACATTTCAGATTATAGATAAGGTTTTGCCTAAAGACATAGTCGTTCCCATTTAAAATTCTGGACCAGAAAGAAGAAATCATTTCTCCCTGCCTAAGGTCTATCTCCTTTCCTGCCCCAGGACCACAGTCACTAGGGCTCCAAGTGCCTGGAGGCTCCCAGTGGGGGTTGGGCAGGGTGGTGGTTACTATTTTCTTACGCCTAGGAAATTTAATGTTTACTATGAGCTCATTAGCCACATTTAAAAGCCAATGCAAGGAAGTCTATGTTATATTCCTAGTATGCCTGAGCTTTCAAAAATGTTGTAGTAAACATTACGTATTTTCCATTCTTTGGAAAATTATGGAAGAATCCTTGGGGAGAAGTGGTAAAATCAAGTGGAGTATCCTGGAGAAACCAGTTCAGAGACTGGAAGGGGTGGTAAGCTAGGATCCACAGCAGAAGCCACAGTGGCCTGGCCAAGACAGTGGCCATCTGGTCCTAACAGTGGTCATGTGTGGAACAAAGAATTGTACTTTGGGGATTCCCAAGGAGATACGGACTTTTGACAAAATTTACACATAGACAATGACATTTTATTTGTAGAGCTCAGTGGCTTTAAAGAATTGAAATTCTATCACAAACACTAGAGCAGTCAAGGTCATATTGGTTACACCGTACCTAATTCATTTATATTCTGCTGTAGATATTAGGAATGCTGGGAAAATTTCTTTTTAAGCAATTCACAATGTCTCATCAGTTATTCCTAAATTGTGTTTTGTGGAACACTAATTCTCTAGCATATTAATAGATGTTTTGCCAAAGAGGTTTCTTGTTAAATAAATTTGGGAAATAATAAGATAAATACATTTATCACAGTTTCTCAGAACCTTTATATACTGATGCAAAATGTAAAGCTCTGAGAGAGGCATATAAAAATACAGCTTTTCCAAAACCTATTTGACTTTGGGAATTTGTTTTAAGCATGTGTAAAGGGACAGTGCTTTGAAAAATATTCTTTGGAAAAGAATGACCTAGTACAATCTCTTTTAAAGTACAATATTTAGAAACCAAAAACAACCGAACTAGTTTTCAGTGGAAGTGACTGAGCTAAAAAATACTCCTTTTAAATTGTTCTAGCTCCCCCATTTTATGTCCCAAGTTAGAAACACAATTTGACTTAAAAATACTGTAAATAAACCAATAGCAACCCATTTGGTGTTGAGGTCTAAATATATTATCTTAGCAAAATACATATGTCAATTAAAATATTTAGGCAACGATATTTTAAAGCTAGAATTACTATAAATTTTTCAACCAAGCTAACTGTAACAGTTAAATAACAGTTTACATATATGTGAGTGAAGCATTATTACTTGAGTTCTTAGAAATGAGTTTAAAAGTTTGCTGTTTCTCTTTGAAATAAAAATTCTAGTCACTCCACGCCCAAATCACATATGACAATAATTCTGTGATGTGTCTCCCATCGTTCTCTGTCACTCTCCCCATTCATATCTACTAGCAGCATTTCCTATGTGTGCTCTCACTTCACTTCAAACTAGAATTCATCATTCCTTACAGGTCTGGCACTCTATCACTTAGCTTTGTGGACAACAGCTCCTAACACCATATACATACAAACTACAGAGTAAGAAAAAAATTAGTTGAGATTAATTTTTAAAATTTTTGTTATATATTTTATTCTCTCTTTCCCTCTATCCTATCTCCCTCCATCCCTCCCTCTCTCTCATTCTTTGGGTCTTGCTGGGTGAGGATTACAGGCTACAGGTGTGCACCACCATGCCAAGCCATATTTCTATTCTTGAACCAGGTTTGGTTTTTTTCCTAGTGCCTCCAATTTAGGGATGGGTCCAGTTAATAGCTTGTCTTAGACTCAACCCTGAACTGGAGTGCAAAAATTACTCAGTACCTTTTTAAGAAATAATGAGAACTATACTAACCTGGTTTGTGGCACCGGATTTATTTCCCTACTTAAAAATATGATTTATTTCTTCCAAATCCCAAATAATGAACATAAGTGCATCTACAAGAGCAAGTTTATGAAATGAAGCAGCCTTAAAACCACAGTTGTCAGGTTTATTAAATGATATTAAAACACATTTAACCATAAGAATTCCTCCTGAGATCTCGTATTTGCACAGTGCCATAGCATGATGTTTTATGACAAGAGCAGTTGATGTCATCAGTGTGGAGAGCTCACGAAAAGCAATCCCTATTTAACTGTCAGGTTAAATAACAACTTTACCTAACTCATACCCTGGCAGAGATGAGGAAAGAAGTGGAGTAGGGTGAGGTTGACATTGCCACAGTCATCGGAGACCATTCAGATGGCACACTTTTCTTTCTTCAAATGGCATGCTGGAAGACACCTACGTAAAATATTTTGATTATCTCTGCAGTGGCATATTTTGAATACCATCTGGTAATCACTTATAGGGACCAGTACTCTATTAGGTCTCCTACCATAGAATCTTATTCTCAGCAGAGGATGGTGGGCTCTTCAGTTCCCACATCTGGGCAGAAAGCAGAAGACTAGGATTCTACTGCTACTAAGAGCTAAATACTTGATGCTTCCTGGGTGCATCATGAATGGTCTTCTGCCAGGTCTCTATGTGGTCAGTCCCCACCCTCCTTCAGGTCCTCACTCAAATGTCACCTTCTTGGAGACACTTTCTATTGACTACCTAAAGTTGCACCACTACCTTCAGCAGTCCTTACCTCCTCTTCCATGCCAACTCTTCTTACCATGTAACTTTCTAACACAGCTTACTTATTTTGCATATCCTCCCACTAGAATGTAAGCAACACAAGGACAATATTTTTCTCACCATTTATTTTGTTTACTACTATAATATTCCTCATGCCTAGAACAGGACTTGACAAATATCTATTTTAATCCTCATAAAACCCTGTGAGAAAGATTACTATTCTTATTAAGAAATAATCTTAGAGTAAATTACTTGCCCAAAGTCACATAGCTAGTGTGCAGTAGCTACAAAAAAATCAACAAGTGATATATGCAACAATACAAAGATATTATAAATGCATTTCTCTGGGAAGATTAAAATAGATACATACTGAATAATTCCATTTGTATGACTTCCTGAAAAAGGCAAAACTACAGAAAACACATCAGTGGTTCCTGGGGCTGCAGTAGAGGAAGATGACTGAAAACAGGTGGAGGAATAGCACAACTATACCTCTGCCAAAGCACCCAGAACTGTATACTAAAAAAGGTGTTTTACTGTGTAAAAATGGTAGGCAGAAAAATGTTCTCCCACCTACAAAGATATTTATATCTTTATCTCCAAACATGTGAATGTTATTTTTCCCGGCAAAGGGACTTTAAAGATGTGTTCTGTTTTACATCTGGATGTCTCCTAAAACCCCATGCATTCAGAGGCAGTTTGTGGAAGGTGATTGGATTAAGGGGTGCTACCAGGTGGCTTGGTGTTAAAAGATGGAGTCTGGTAGGAAGCTGTGAGTCACATGGGTGTGGCCTGGAAGGGTGTTATCTCCCTGCCTCCCACCCTTTGCTCTCTGCTTCCTAGCTGCCATGACATGAGCAGCTTTTCTCTGCCAGGCCCCACCATGCCTTCCTGTCTTGAGATGGCCAGCTATGGGCTAAAAACATGAGCCAAAGTAAACCTCTCCTTTAAGTTATTGGTGTCAGGTGTTGTGTCCTAGCAACAAGGAAAGTGACTAAGACAAGATGTGATTCAGTATCTTGAAATGGAGAGATTATCTTGGATTATTTGGCCAGATTCAGTGTAATCACAAGGGTCCAGATAAGAAGGAGGCAGGTGAATCAATCAGAAAGGATTTGAAAATGCTACTGATATGCTTCTGGATTTAAAGAGGAAGGTACAATGAGCCAAGGAATGTAGTTAGTCACTTGAAGATGATGGGAAAGGCAAAGAAACATACTCCTTTAAACCCTCTAGCAAGAACAATCCCTGGCAACAGCTAATGAGACTAATTTTGGACTTCTGAACTCAAGAACTGTTAAGAGAATTCTGTCCTGCTTTAAATCAGTGTTTGTGGTAATTTGTAACAGCAGTGAAAGGAAACTAATACAACAAATCCTACCTCAACAAACCTTGACTTTAAAAAGATAATGGAATATATCTACTATATATTGTGGTATAGTAAATAAGAGAGATTTGGCTAGGTCAACAGTCCTGCGTCAAAAACATGACTGTAACATTTGCTTACCATGTAACCTTAGACATGTTAATTTCATTGGAGTATGTTACCATCTATAAAATATTTCCAATAATACCTCATAGAAATTGTTTTTGCTCATTTCTAGTACTTTATATGATTTCAATAAGTGGTAGCTATTATTTTATAGAAAGTATCTGAATTGCTAAGCATCATAGGCAATTTTTATATTAGAACACGTCCTGAAGACTGTATTATAGAAGAAATTTCTTCACTAACCTTCAAGCATTACTTAATGGCTACAACCTGATCTAATGTAGAAAAATGATTGTTTGGATTTCTTCCCTGTATATATTACTTGTATGACTGCCAGAACAGTTTTAAGTTATTGCTTTTAACTATTGGATTATACACAGTACTATTCTGAATGTGTCATACCCTTTAAATAGTTTGTGACCAAATTGTTCTGGAAAGCAGCTTCTGAATCTAAATCTGTATTTGCATATAACAAACATCAGTCCAACCTGCTCTTCTGGCCCCTTTTTGGGATCTATGTAGGGAACTGGTTCATTGTATGTTCTTGCCTTTGTGTTAATGAATTTAGCATAATTTACACGTCCTCTCCTGACACAAGGCTTTGAATGCTGTATGCTATTTCCAGGATTTTTTTCATGTTTGATTTCTTCTTTTCTTTCAGTTATACATGCTATTCCAGCATCTTCTATGTTATGCTGTCTGAAAAACAAAATTAAATAATAAATCATTTATCCCATTGAGGATTTCAGTACAGTCATAATTAAAATGAGATTTAAATATATTCCCAGCATAAATTAAAACAATTTAGGCCTATTAATAGTTTTTGATGGGCTTGTGCTATTAAAATTTGGGATGGAATCTTCTCATTCTAAATCATATAAGATATAAAGAAATTTGTGTTAATGATTATTATTATGTAACTGATGTACAGATTATCATCTGCTTGTAGTAAACAGTGGTATTTGATCACGCTTACTAATCACGTTTGTAGTATTTAAGCGTGTGGTTAAGTCATTTGCTAATCTGAATACTTCTTCCTTAAAAGTTTTCTTGTGAATAGATGACTTTTCCCCCTTTTACCTACTAAATTCAGCCATCAGGACAAGTATAACTACTTGATTTTTACAAACTGACCTGCCAAACTTATAAAAGCTATCCAATGACCACTAACACTTATCTTTTTGGGGCAACCCACTTTCTGGGCCCCCTTCTGTCTCTCTCAGAAGCTATCTTCTTCTCAATAAATTCTTCCTACTCTTAATCTCCGTTGTTCCTAGAATTCATTCTTCGATTTTAAAAAATACAAACTCAGTGTATCAGGTATCTACCAGGTTGACAGTTACACTATTTCCCTTATATTATTTAGAGGTCCATAGATCATATGCCCTATATCATGAAGATGAGAACAACCAAGTTCATATCAGGAAATCCAGCCGAGGTAAGTGTCTCCAGGAAAACCAATAACATATGATCCAGTTCTCCTTTTATGCTGTCAGCAATAATTCTCAGGGTTTGGAGAAGGGAGCCAAAGGGCAAATTTCCACTTTGAGCAGTGTTGTTTCACCTGTTAGCCAGAAGAAGGAAGCTGCTGAAAATAGAATTTTACCCACATTTGTTTTCCCTAACATCAAGGACATGAGAGACCTACCACCAATTTGCCTTGATGTTAGACAAAAACAGTGGATCTCTACAGATGTATTATCATCTGAAATGAAGGCACCAGTCCTTTCACAACCTGTCCTTCCTATTCAGCCTGAAACTATGAAAGAAAGATTTTCAGGAAGATGTAGAAAGCATCAGGAGACTGGTAAACAGTACATGATTTTTATCTAATACTTATCTTTTTAAGAAAACACCACTGTTCAGGCAAAACAATTAATTCAATTTCATCACTTTTTTACTTCTAATGACCACACTGCTATAAAAGAAAAAATCACTGGCTGGGCATGGTAGTGGAGGCCTGTAATTCCAGCACTCTGGGAAGCTGAGGCAGAATGATCTCAAGTTTGAGCCCTGGGCAACTTACCGACTTGGGGCGACCCTGTGTCAACATAAAAAATTTTAAAAGGGCTGGGAATGTAGCTCAGGACAAAGGCCCTGGGTTCAATCCCCAGTACCAACAAAACAAAACACAGAACAAAAAATATTAAAGAAATGTTTAGTGCAAACAGACATTATAAAAGGCAGTATTTTTAAATTTCAGACATTTGAAAAATAAAGAATAGATTAATTTGAGTACTTTCTACATAGAAGCTTTTACACATCAAAGCCCTGATCCCACAAAAAGTGAATCTGTAAGATCCAAATTTATAGTGAAAATGGGTAGTTCTATTTAGCCTTATTCACAGCCCTTAAAATATAACCCTATCTTACTTCAAAGTCAGGTCCACCTCTTTCATTGTTTCTCAAGTGAAACCCACAAGTGTATTTATAATAAAATACTGCCTCCCCATTGGAGTTTCAGTGACTTGCTCCAGCTGAACTCTGCAGCCTCATCCCAGCCTCCCCACCCTCATTTCTCCAGCCAGCCTTCAGTTCTCTTTTCTCCTGGGGCATTTGCACATTGCTCTATGTCTGTAAGGTTCTTCCCCAGCTCCCTGCATAGCTTGCTCATTATCATTTAGGTCTCAATTCAAAAGCCAGTGCCTTTTTTCTAGATTTTACTCCCTACTCTATGTATGGTCCATTTTAGTGCTTTGTCCGTTTCCTTCATGACATCACACTTCATAACGCATGTACATAGTTTTTTGTTCACTTGTCTTTGGTAAGCAACAGATATATACCCTTGCTAGTCATTAAGTTCTGTGAGGCGGGGGTTGTTTCACTCACTATTCACCCAATATCCAGGGAAATGGACTGCCACTAGAATACTGACATATTTCCGCTGAATTTGCTGGAATTGTTTTTTCACTCTCGCTTTGTTGTAGCTGTATACCCTCAACCCTCACTCTGCTATACATATTGATAACATTCAGAATCCTTGGGACTTAAGTTCCCCGCTTCCCAACAAAAATTGTTCTCATTACTGGTAAAGTGTAAATAATTTCTAAGATTTTCTGTTTCTAAATTCATGAGTGTTTGCTCAATGGTTGTGAATTTCAGATCAATTAACTTATCGTCACAGTCTCCTGGCATCAGTTTTTCTCATTTGTTTATCATAGTTGTAATCCAGAAATACATTTATACTAGAATCATGTCTTTGAAGGAAAGGATTATGACTATTTTCTTGTGGTTATGTACTCATTTGGATAAGTACTGTGGTGTCAATGGCTATAGATAATTCATAAATATGAAATATACGACTCTGTAGTAACTCGTTTGTAGAAGTAAAATACAGATGGGCCGGGGATTTAGCTCAGTGGTTCTGCCACCTGCCTTGCAAGTGCAAGGTCCGTAGTTTGATCCCTGGTACCAAAAAAAAAAAAAAAATACAGGTAAACACACCAATGGACTCTGAAATTAATTAGACCTGGATTGGAATCCTACCTCTACCATTTAATATCTAAGCCTCAGTTTCATTATTTGCCTAAGAACAATAGCCATTGTGAGACATGTGAGAATAACATTGAATAATTCATTTTTTCCATAGATATTTATTATGTGCCAGGGCTGTTTGAGACACTGAGGATATAACAGTGGCAAAACAAAAAATCCTGCCCTCACAGAACTTACATTCTAGGGTAAGATATATGAAAAATAACAAGTAAAATAGAGTCTGTTAAATGGTGGTAAGTGGTAAAGATAGTAAAGCAGCGAAACGGGAAAAGGAGTACATGTGTGTAGGAGGCAGGCTGCATTTTTAGGTAGGGTGGAGACTGCTTTGTGAAGGTGGCAATTGAAAAAAGGAGAGAAAGCTGGGTGGGTATTTAAAGAATGAGCATTCCAGCACAGTAACTGCCAAAGCTTTGCAACAGAAATGTCCCTACCTTTAGAACAGTGCTTCTTAAAGTGTGCTCACTGAAGTAGACACATTGGCATCAACGTGACCCTGTTAGAAATACAAATTTATAGATCCCATTTCAGCCTACTAAATCTTATCTCTGGAGCTGTTTCTCTGGAACCTGTTTTAACCAGCTCTCTAGCTGACTCATACCCATGTTAAAGTTTGAGTGTGTTCTGCAGAAAAATATATAGGCTTTTGAAGCAAGTGTCCCTAGCTAGCTCCACATCACTCTAGCTGCACTATCTTAGTTCAATGGTTCATTACATTTTTGCACGTCATGGTGAACATGGAGGCTTTGTAAAGCCCAATTATTGGGCCCCAATCCCAGAATTTGATTCTGTGTTGGGTAGGGAGCCCCAATTTGCATATTTAACAAGGGCCCAGGTGATGCTGGTTGGGGATCACTCTTGAGAATCACTGGAGAAGACCGAAAGGAAGCCTTTATGCAGAGTGGAGTCCTGCCAGAGGGAGGCAAGCAGTACACGAGGCCTAGGAGGGGGAGGGGACACCAGTGTATGCTTCCTGCAGGAACCTTGCCTTTTACTGCGATGCCCAGGACACCAGTGATCTAACTTACACTGTAAAAAGGCTACTCTGCTTTGCTGAGGGACAGAGCATAAGGGAAGCAAGGCTGTTGCAGTATCTCACGCGTGCGAACAGGTCCTTGGGACAGGGTGGGGATGAGCAGAGGTGTACAGTGGTAGAGTCTGTATAATACTAAGGGCAAAGCCACAGAATCTGATAATAAGATAAAATAGGACACGACAAAGAGTGGATGATTTGAAGATGACTTGAAGATTTTTAGGTCCTATGTGCTCAGTTAACAGAGGGTTTTAAAAAATTATCACTGGAAGCACTGGAGCCCTAGAAATCAGAGGAAGAAAGGGGACCGGAGGAGGTTTAACTCATTGCTCAGGATCAGGCCTCAGTCTCACCTAATCCTCCCCTTGAGGGAGGAAAATAATTTTCGGAAGGGGAAATAAACCAAACCCCAGCACTTACTGCTGCTTTTCCTCCTTTCTCTCCATGGTCCCCTACGGCCTGGCACGTGACAGCGTGGCGCCTCACACTACCAACTTGGACACAGCCCTGTCAGGGAAAGGGCGCCAGAGCCCGGCGACTGCGACTCCTGTGTTGCTAAGCGACAGAGGCCTCCCCGCTCAACGCCGGAAGAGGGGCGTGAAGGCGCGGCCCGGAGCGCGCAGGCGCATTAACCCCTGCGCTTTGAGGCGAGACGAGCGGGGGCTTTGGGACCTATTGTTCTGCATTCCTTCCGGACCGCCCCCAAGCTGGACGCCCGGCATTTGAACTTGCCCTTCCCCCTATCGGGCCGGGCGCGGGTTTATCGGCGGTGCCTTCTCTGCCCTTAGCCTTGTGGGATTAGCGAGAGGCAGTTTCAGAGCCTCCCCAGCAGTCTTTGGGGATGGTGCTGCTCGCATCTGCGCAGGACTTCACCCGGGCTGCCCCGGCTGGCCTCAGAAGTGCGGACAAGCAGGAAGGACACTTGTGAACCATTAAATACTTTGCAAGTCGTGATTCACCGTCCCCGGGCTCCCTGGCCTTTGCATGGGAAAGGCTGTCACTGTTTTCCACGACTTCTAACAAAACCTTCCCCAGCTCGGTGGCCAGCATTAAAATAGAGCAGAGGAGGGTTGCGGATGTAGCTCAGTGGTTCTGTTGCCTGCCTTTAAAATAGAGCACAGGAACACTCATCTGCAAATGAGGCTCCCTATAGTGTGTCCATCTGTTCCAGGTTGAGTGTGGTTAGGAATCCGTGCAGGGGACTGCGGGTTGGGGCTAGTAGCATAGCACTTATCCAAAAAGAGCAAGCTCCTGGGAAAAGCTAGTAACTACTTGCGTCCACCTTTGGCCCTGGAATTTCTTACCTCATTTCATCGTTGCCTCCCAGTTTCCACGACCACAGCCAGACGTCTTTGGCATCTGTCATAACTTGTGAATTTCTCTGCAGAAGAAGGAAATGGAAAAGGAAAAGTTTTTTGAGCTGAATCTTGCTGTGTATCAGGCTATATGCATGTGCTGCGTATGTTTTGTTACCCAGTGAGTGAGTGTATTTACAGTGGACCCTCAAGTTACCACCCGCCTGACATAGGAATAATTTGAGTTAGTTAGGCTAATGGAAGATTCATCTGCCTCTTGTTATCTATAGCGTGTACTCAGGTAAACATCCAGATCTCAGCTATATTAACTTACATCCAACTTGAGTTCTAACCAGCCCTCAGAACGGATCGAGTTTGTAAGTCAAGGGTCCACTGTACTTGGAGAGAAGAGGTTGGTCCTAGGACTCACTATACACATGTGAGCTAAAATCCTATCAGGAAAAAGTGTGTATGACATCCATCTAGTGACCTAGATAATGCAGTATGTACTTTGTTGTTAAAAAGATTGGAGAGTATGTGAATGTGTGGTTGTGAGGGTGGGAAATAGGGAGTGAGTAAATAAATATGGAGGCTATGGAGGCGACAAGTTAAAAATCAGAAAGCAAGGTGAGAAGTGGGGAGGGGGAGGGGACTAACATTTATTGAGCCCTGGCTTAAAGGCCCAGTGTTTCTTGGCTACTTTATTGAATAACATCACTTATCTGGGTTTGCTGTAACCATCAACCTGTGATTAGGAGCACCAACCTCGAAAGTAGTCGCTGTGTGAATTATGACTTCACTTACAAGCTACTTCACATGGGAAATGATGTAACTCCACAGATCTTCGATTTCTTCATCTACAAAATGGGCAGTTATGTAGGGTTGTGAGGTATAGATGGTTTAAAACAGACAGAGTGCTAGGAGATATGTATCTGATCCTTAGTATGTGCTTGGTCGTTATTAGTATACTTTTTTTTTTTTGAGACAGTCTCACTATGTTGCCCAGGCTGGTCTTGAACTTCTGGACTCAAGCAATCTACTCACCTTGGCCTCCCCAGCAGCTGAGATCACAGGCATACATCACTGCACCCAGCTGCTAGTGCTATTTTTATTGAGCAATTTAACTTGCATATGCTACCACATGTCCTTGAGTTTTAGTCAACACCCTCATTATTCCCTCTAATTTCTATTTCAGTTTTCACCAACTCTCAAATGTTAAGAAGTGAGTCCATTTTCTCAGTTTTCTCCCTCTCAAATCAACAAATTCACCAACATTCACACAGAGAGGTGTTTGTCTTTATTTTGAGCAATATATAGAGATCTGTGTATCTATATATATTAATCTCTTTCCAACTATTAAGCAGTTTATATATGTCTAGATATTAAAGTCCACAAGAAACATTAAAACAAGAAATTGTGCCTACCACAAGGAGGCCACAATCTACTTAGAGATGTAAGACATTCATGTAGGAAAAAATTGTGAACAAAATGGCAATAATACAGAGCAGCATTATATAACAGACAGTCACAACTGTTAAATTTCAGTACTGATGATAATGTAGTATTATGTAACAATATGCCAATTGTTCTTGGCGTATTCTCTGTAAGGAACAACATAATATGAATTTTATAATAATTACTAACTTTTTATATAAAAAAGCACTAGTAGTGTTTTTTACTAATAACTGCCTGACCTAGGAGACAGACTTAAAGTTCTCTGTGTTGAAGAGTCTCACTTATGAAAGGAGGTAGCCATATTAAATCATCTTTGTGATCCTTTCCAGATGTAAAATAAAGTGCATCTAAAGGAAACTTATGTCTGAAAAATCAGTAAACACTAACCTAAATAATTCATGTAATTTTCTCACCCCTGATAGGTAGTCTGGATACTTGTCAACAAAAAATAATCCAAAGTAGTTAATAATGTCCAAGTTAAAAATACCAGTGCTCTTCAAGCTAACACACCATATGTGAGGGACTACAAGAGGATGGAAATTGTTCATTCAAAATCTATAGATGCAGAAAATTGTCAATTTTTTTTTGAATGTTAGGAAGATGCCAGAAAATACTGACTGGTGCAGTTGTATAAATGTGTAGGAAAGTTGTGGGTCCAGGAGGTCCAACTTCCTCAGTCCCTTGGTCTGTGATGTACTTGGGATACAGGAGATGATCTTAAAAATATGGCATAAACAAGCAGTCCTGAGTTCTATTTTTAAAAAAATATTTTATTTGCTTCATTCACTTGTATTGTAAGGATTAACTGAAAAAAAAATTCATTCAGAGAACTTACCCTGGCACCTGGTTGTTAAAAAGTGGCTGCTAATATATTCTTCCAATTTTTATAATTAGTAGGTTGGAAGGCACATCAAATGCATGCATTACCTTGTTGTTTCACTGCCTTAGACTCAGACTTTATCAAACCAAAATAGACATTAATTTGAGGGTAATGGGAATGAAAAATGGCAGTGTTGGTTTGCCTATCTTTTGAGAATAAATGGTTTCAAATGAGTCAGATATGAAAGGGTTCCTCTGGCCTTAGTTTAAAGCCAATTAATTTATATTATTAGGAGAGGTATATAACAAAACAAACAAGTATGAGATGTTACATCTCCTTAAAGTTGAAAATATCTAATATAAACATATACCACTTCTGATAGAAGTTAACCATGGATCTGTCCATGTATATGTTTATATTCATATAGATGTATACATAAAAATCTTAAAAATTTTATGAAATCTCTACAAATAACTAAACACAGTACAGCCTAGTTTATGGCAAAATCATTGTTAGAAATCTCTAGCTTGGAAATACACATGAATGAAAGAAGCAGCTTGTATTTATTTATTGTATTTATTTATTTACTTAATTTTGTTTTTTTTGAGACAAGGTCTTACCATGTAGCCCCAGGCTGGCCTTGAACTTGGAGTGATCCTCCTGCCTCAGCCTCCCAAGTGCTGGGATTACAGGCATGTTCCACCATGCCCGGTTTCAAGGTTCATTTAAAAATAATTCCCACTGTGATTGCCTATATAGAAGCAGTGTAAAGATGAATGAAAATCTGGTCTCAGGTAGGCAGAGCAGTGAAGGGCCCTTTTGATATTAGAGTGGTGTCTTAAATAGAATGGTCATATAATAAAATTTGGTTGAATAAATAGACGTCAATATGAAGCCTCTTGAAGGAGGAGCATTACAAAATGAAACATAGTTGAAGAGTTAGCATTGTTAAAAAGGCTGAGAATCACTAACTACAAAGTTTTAAAGATTTTCAATGCCTCCTTAGCTTCTTTTTAAGGTTGTCTTATAATATCTGAAGAATTCCAGACATGTGATCATCTTCCATGCAGGTTATTACCATACCTTATTGTCTTAACTATTGAGCAACCCAACATTTACTGAGCAGCTTCTATATTCTGTCCTATTCTGAGCCATGAAATTTTAATTCATTGATTTATTTGAGAAAAGTATCTGTAAGATTGGCCCTCCCCCACCAAATCCTTGGAGATGCTACTTCTAATTTTTCAGTGGCTTTTTTATGGACACAGATAAAAACTTTTCAATGTATTCCTTAGAGAATCTTCATGTTTTAAAAATGGTAATTAAAATCCCTTTAATGTAAACAACATAAATTCTTCAACTTCCACTCATAAAATCTATTTAAATCCCTTTGATGATACAAATTGCCATTCTCAGTGCTTTCCCCACAAGACGAGAACTAATATTTATTGAACTTTATTGGCTTGTATTTAAATTATAATGATGTGACTCTGGGCAAGTTATTTAAATACTTGAACTTTAGATTTTGATTACATTGCTTGTTAATCTTCAAAAAATAAAAAGAAAGAAAAGACCCCAAAAGAGTAAGGAAAAAAGAACTTGTAGGGTTGTTGTATTAAGTGATGTATGTAAAGCAGCTGGGATAAGTAGGTACTCAGGAAGTATTATTTCCTACCACCCCTGTCCATCCTTAACCCAGCTAGAAAATGATGCAGCCAGAATTTGATTTTAGATCAGTGTACTCTTTTAAAAATATCCCATCGCCTCTACATCTCATTTCTGTAAGACTGGCTTTTAAACATGGTGATAAAAATTGAAAATAAAATTCTAAGTAGTCTTTCTAATTTAGATGGGAAAGATTAGGAATACTATGGTATGAGATTAGGTAAAAATAACTAAAAAGAGTAAAAGCAGCCCATACTGTAGGAATCGATGAATGGAAGACTCTTCAAAACAGGAAGGCTGTGATAGGGGAGGAGACCATAATAGTGGGTACAAATGGTAAAAATGTGCCCTGTCTATTATACAATGTCACTGAACAT